TACAGTTTAAGTCTCACTGTGCCTGGGAAGTTAGACAGGGGTGGGTATCAAGTCATAAGAAGCCAAGGAAGGAGAGAATTCATTAAACGGAGATAATAGACACCATAGCTCTGTTTTAATGTGACTTCCTCCTACCACTTGCCAGAGAACGAATCGTAGGTGTCACGTCTGTCAACACGTCTTGTGCATAGTGTGCAAGGTATGCATTGCAAGAGCCATCCTTTGAAAAATGATCATTCCTAATTGTTATGCACTAGTGAATCATTTCACAATTACATAAAATAGAACCTGCAGTCCTGATACAGGTAGTGCTCAGAACCTAGATTCACAATGCCCAAGGGACTTGTGCCTGGCCTGGAAATGTACATGATGAGCCCAGAGTATCTCCTGTGCAAGAGAAGGCATGGAAAGCACACCAGGGACAACCTGGGGACTCCTGTGGGCCAAGTCAGGGGCAATGCAAACATGGACAGAAATGGTCACAGCCAGGACCCTTAGAGTACAGAGTAAAGAAGTCACAGGATAGTGCAGCCTGCGTGCATGTGTGTGCATGCACGTGTGCTCATGGGACAGGGTTCCTTTTAAAGTAGAATGCCAACAAATGAGCAAGCAACAAAGGAGAGAGTAAATCACTACGTTGCAATGACAGCTGTAATGGATCAGAGCAAGAATTATAAATGGATGGTGAAAGTGGCGGGCAATAGTTTAATAAAGAACATATATTCCAAAGTATGGTAGTTTACAAAGTTCTTATTAGTTACAAAAGGAAAACAAATGACCAGTAGGATGGATAAATCTGGCCAACACCACACTAACCAACTCATCAAAGTTTGTACTAAGGAAACACAGTTGGTGCCTCCCCCGGACCCATCAGTAGGCTCTGATGGATTTAGTCAACTGTGGTTCAAAAATATTTGAAAAACATTGCATCTTTATTGAATGCTGAGATTTTTCTTCTTGTTATCACTAAGCATTTACATTGTATTAAGTATTATAAGGGATCAGAGGTGTTTTAAAATATGCAGAAAGACTGAGCACATGAAAGCACTATGCTATTTTATAGAGGGGCATGGGCCCTGTCAATTTTGGTATCCATAGGGATTCTGGCTCCAATTCCCCTCAGATATTGAGGAAGGACCACATACATTGAAATATTTAAGGGCAAAGAAGGCTGGGAATGTGTCTCAGTTGGTAAGGTGCTTGTCTAGCATGCATGAGGCCCTGGGTTGGACACCGAGCACCATGTAAACAGAGCATGATGGTATACCCCTATAATTCCAGCACTCAGGGAGTAGAGGCAGGAGATTCAGAAAGTCAAACTCATTCTCAGCTACACAGAGTTCAAGGACAGTCTGGGGACACATGAGACCATGGCTCAGAAAAAGAAAAAAGATCTATTTCAATGTACTCTAAAATGTTGCCCCACTTGGTGGTATATGCCTTTAATCCCAGCACTTGGGAGGCAGAGGCAGGCAGATCTTTGTGAGTTCAGGGCCAGCCTGGTCTACATAGTGAGTTCCAGGACAGCTGGGGCTACAGGGAGACCCTGTCTCAAAAAAAAAATCCCAAATAAATAAATAAATAAATAAATGTTTATGTATCTGTGAATATATGTGTGTGTATATATATATTATATACATATGTCTGAGTGAGGTGACATCCTCAGCCTGGGTGCAAGAGTTCTTTATATGATTGTAGCTTTTCTGCAGATTTGAAATTATTTCAATAACAAAGTTAAAAAGACTTGTTGAAAAAAAAGAGGCATTGTCATTTCTAGTCACAAAGTATAACTAAGAATACCAAGATCTGGAAACTGTTTCTCAGAAATACTGTTTCTCAGAAAAACACTGCATCTGTAACTCATTGGTGCTGTGATAAGATACCTGAAGGATGCACCTTTTAGAGGAAAGATACAGTCAGTCATGGTGGGGAAGGCGGAGTTCAGGGCAGTGGGAGCAGGGAGGTGTGACTTCTCACATCTCAGAGACCAGGAAGTAGAGTCCTTGGGCTGCAACCAGGGCCAGCTATGAGCCCTGACCCCTTCTCTTCTGTGGTCCATGAGCTCCTTAGTGCCACCGGGTGTGCAGTAAGAAACCAAATGTTCAAACGGATGAGCCTGTACAGGGTATTTCACATTCAAACCATAATAAATATGATCAAACACTGCGCTCCTAATGAGTAACCTCCTAGGTTATTATTTAGTCCAGTCTTTCAGTTTTATTAATCACATTATCAAGATTTTCTCAGTTTATGAACAATGACCAGTAAACCAGATAATGCTCTTGAATTAGCACTCATACAAAACATTTATAAATCGAAATAATTCAGAAAGCGTCTATTGAAAGCCAACAATCATCAAGGGCTGGAGATACAAAATGACAGAAAGCATTGCTTTCTCCCTCCACGTTTAACAGGGGCGGATGTGGCTGTGTAATAACTGTCTCCTTGGTTTGTGCGGTTTAGAAGTCCAAACAATTCTGTGCATGTGCAAGACAGAGGTCTAAACAAGGACAGGAGTGGAAATGTGGACTCTGAAGTGACGCGGGAACGTTTCTGAAGGGTCTGTGCACAGGAGTCTAGGCAAGTATCCACAACGTGGTTTTTTCTTTTGCTCTATGTAGTGCAAGTCACACGGTAAACTAGGCTGGCTTTGTCCTTGCGATGGCTCGCCTGCCTCTCTGAGCACTGGGATTACAGGTGTGCCCCACCAGGCTCAGCTCAGTCATTAAAGATGTTACTAGAAGGGAAATGCTGGAGGTGGGGGAGGCAGGAGGGGCAGTGCCGTAACTGACAGACACTAGGAGCCGCCCAGAGAGGGAACTCTGTCCTGTGCCAACAGATACACAGTTGATGCTTAATAAATATGAAGAAAATGAACAAATAAACATGCAATTGTATCATGTATGTACACATGTCACCATGTCCAAGAATTTGGTTATTGAGAGAGATTTTGCTTTCGTCTTACAAGGCATGTATGCTCCTGGTGGGACATTTATTCTTTGGACAAAAAGGTAGGCCATCTCCGCAATGTCCAGATGTGTGAAAGTTTGTGTTAATCAACAGGGATTCTGGAGAAGGGTTGGCAGAAAGGGATGAGCTCCTTGCATTGTTACATAATCTGCCTGTCCCTGTAGAGGTTGGAGGATGTCACCCACAGACACCAAGGGTGTGTGGCCCCAGTTGGTGGTGCTGTTTGCAGAGGTTTAGGACGTGTGGCCTTGTTAAAGGGTGGGCTTTGAGAGTTCACCGGGGTGGGTCTGAGGGCTCATAGCCTCACCCACTTCCACTTTCTCTCTCTGCCTCTGTGTGGATTCACTCAGCTTTCTGCTCTGGTCCCCCTTTCTGCACTCCTCCCCGCCATGACAACCTCGCATCCCCTGGAACCGCAAGCCCAACAAGCTCTTCCTTTTACAAGTTGCCTTCCTCATGGTGTTTTATCACAGCAACAGAAAAGTAACCAACACAGCCCTGATCTGAAAATGAACCAGAGAGTGCCTAGAAATCAAAACACATTGTCTACAGAGCCTAGAACCAAGGAGGCCAGCTAGCCAGATTAGACCCAGATAAAGAGCGATTGAAGTCAAGCACAGTTTCATGAGACAGGTAAGCCCGTGAAGATAAAGGATGTGAGTGGAGGGACGAAGGGTAGCACCCTGGAGAGAACTGCTCTCAAACTTGTTCCCACTCACGGCTGTCAGACCAGTCCTAGCTACAGGAGAGACAGATGTGAAGGGCCACGAGGACGTGCATAGCGTGTGGTTGGGTCATGGTTTCTTGGCAATGCTACACTACATTAAAGAGCAAGACAGGACAAGGCACAGCAGGTGAGGCAGGATCACACAAGAGGCTGTGCAGTTTCTCTCAATTCTTCTGTAGACCTAAAACTGCTGAACAAATGCAGTCTCTTGAAAGGAATGAATGAATGAACACATCATAAACTCACTTCACAAGAGTCAAACATAAAATTCCAGGACGTTAAAACCTTTTCTATTGGGCTTTAATGCACCAACATTTGTGGTTATTAAATCCTTGTACATTAGGAGACACCCAATGTGTAAAGCACCGTGACAGCACCGAAAGGAGGGGCTGTTGGTCAAAACCGATTCTGAAAGGCTAGAATTCCTAGTAAGCACTTTTTATCGGACACCTTACACAGGCCTGTTAGATTTAGATCCCCCTCTCCAGTTAGATTATGGCCTGTGCTAGGGTCCATCAAAAGGGCGGTGGTCATTTTTCAGAATTCTTCACCACTTAACCCAGGAACTTATACCCTGCCTCGCTCCTAAGGACAGGAGCATGGAAGTCCTGTGAGAGTGGAGGGCCTGTCCTCTGCAACTCTTGAGGCTCCTACCTGCTATCCAGAGCTCACTTCCTGGGCGTGTAAGCTGTGTGCTAGTGCCCCATGCTAAAAATGCCTCACCCCAAGGCTGGGGACACAGCTCGGCTGGTGGAGGTCTTACCTATTATGTATAAAGTCCTGGGTCCAGTCCAAGCACCACGTACAATAGTTATGATGGTGCATGCCTTCCTGAACTAGGGGCTCTGGGAAATATGAGGCTGTCTCAAAAAAAAAAAGTGTCACCGCAGACTTGATTTTCTGTGGTGTCATCTTCTAAGTAAAGGGCCTGGTATTTTCATCTCAATGTTTGTAAGTACTGCGGAGGTCGTGCCCTCATCTCCTTACTATGTGCTATACCTACATGTTTTTATCCACAAGGTCAAGGGGATCATGGCAAGAGACACAAACTCTGACTTTCCTCTAAAAGCAGCTGGGTGAGGAAGGGGGAGTGAAAACAGGCTGTTTGTTCTCCTAGCTCCCCTCAAACACCCAGGCTAAGCTTGTCTTGAAAGGGAATTCATGTTTTCTTCTTTCACACAGGTAGAAACAAACCAAAAGGACAGGCATTAAAACAAATCATTTTATTTCAGAATGATTGTTTATACACCAAAAAGGGCAGATTTAAAGACCAAACACTACATCAAGCAATTTTTCAAAGCCATTTACACTTACAAAAATTTCTCTAAAATATAGAGAAATTCAATCTTGCTTTTCTAAATGGCTGATAGACACTTAACAAACTCAAATACTCTTATAAAGAGCAGCTTTATAAAATGCATTAGAAACATGCCTGTGCCAAATCTTAGTAGTCTTCAGGGGGAAAAGTAACGTTAATTCCCGGGTCATCGTCACGATCGGATTCTTTATCATTTTCTTTAGGACTTTCCTGGTTCCTTCTCTCGTGAGTACAAAATGGCCTCTTCTTCTCCTTGGTCTTGTGCTGTGGGTTGGCAGTGGGGTCCCTTTCCATAGCATGCTGCAGGCAGTCGTAAAACCTGAGAAGAGTTAAACACACTGTCACATATTTCAGGGCTCTGAAACTGACTGACCGAAATCTATGTAGAACCTACACATTTTATAAAAGGGACAATTAGCCTTAAAAATTTAAAATAAACCATGTAAACTTTTCCTTTCTGTTTAAACTAGTAAAAGAAATGAGTTTTCAGCTCTTTAAGAACTGACGAGTGGGCTGGAGAGATGCTCAGAGATTAAGAGCACTGGCTGCCCTTGCAGAGGACCTGGGTTTGAGTCCCAGCACCCACATGGTGGCTAACAACTCTCTGTAACTCCAGTTCTGGAGACTCCAACACCCTCTTCTGACTCCTCAGGCACTGAATGACATGGTGCACTTACACACATGTAGGCAACATACTCATGCACATAAAATAAAATAATAAAAATGAAAAATAGTAAGAACTGACAAGTGGGATGAAATGACCTCTTAACCTCCGTCCAACATCAGCTACCATCTAAGATGTAAGGTCAAGGGAAGGGAGGCACTTGAGATTTTTATTAAAAATTACATAAATAGGGGCCGGAGAGATGCTCAGCAGTTAAGAGCATTGGCTGCTCTTGCAGAGGACCAGGGTTTGGTTCACCAGAACCCACATGGCAGCTAACAACTGTCAGTAACTCCAGTTCCAGGGTATCTGTTGCCCTCTTCTGGCCTCTGCGGACATTGCACACATGGGCACACATAGGAACATGGCAAGCAAAACATGCATACACATAAAAAGCAATAAGAAATATTGCAAATGAGTTTCACTTTTTAGAATTTGAAAATATCTGAACTTGTGAACACAGTTTACCTCTACATAGCTACAGAATATCAATTTCAGATCTTCAACGTTCCTTTCTTTAATCTCATACATAATCACTGTGTGTGGTGGGGTGAGGGTGCATTGTCAGAGAACAACTTTGTGGAGCTGGTTCTGTCCTGCCTTCATGAGGGTGCCAGGAATGGACTCAGGTCTCCAGGCTTGTGCTCTGCCCATTGAGTCACCTCACCAGTCCCACTTTAAATATTTTATTTATTATTACCATGTGGTTACTGAGATTTGAATCTGGGTCCTCTGCTTGAGCAATCAGTGCTCTTAACTGCTGGACGATCTCTCTAGCCCCACCGGCCTCATTTTAAATAGTTTTACTCTTTCCGGTTTCTCAGTGCAGTCTAGATTGATTTATTTAGATACACATACTTACCATTACTTTACACATTAGGATATTACATGTAACGCCTCACCATTTTTAAATATAAAGTTTGCTGAAAATTACAAAATAATAACAAGTGGTCTCATGTAAACGGCTCTCCTGTGTTTTCAAATTCTCCCTGACAGACTGGGACAAACAGCTTTGAAGGTGGCAGGACAGCTGCTGCCAGCCACTTCTCTATGACGGAGTCTAAAAATGCAACTGCCAGGAGCAAGGTGTTGGATAAACACTGACCATTCTCCAGAGTGAGTGTTCAAAAACACAAGCTTCTTCCAGGAGTACTTGAGAAACACCACTTCCCTGACAGGCTGAATATTACCACAAAACACATGCCCTACTTTGATGTGTGAAAATGCAGCTCTTTGAGGTGTGGTGGCACACACCTTTAATCCTAGACAGAGGCAGATGGAGATGGGAGCCAGCCTCGTCTACATAGTGAGTTCCAGGCCAGCTGGGGCTACAGAGAGACCCTGTCCTAACCAGCGTGCTCTGGAAGTTGAAAGGCCCTGCCACTTGGTGTCCTTTCCTTCTCTGCCCACTGTCATGCTAGTACAACAGCAAATATTTGCCGTCTACAGGATTTTTGATAACTACAGATTATTGTTTTAATTGATTTTTCTGCTTTCTTCGATTTAATGAGCAGTCTAGATTCTACTTGGAAAGGCTCAATAATGCTGCAATACTAAACACTCATTGATTCAAAATGACCCTGTACAAGTCAAACACACATTCAGTGGGATTCCTATGTATTCTGTCTGAACGTAAGGACTTACTTACCCCTGTAACCCCTACAGTCAGGACTGGGCCTGGCACAGAATGGGCACTCACTCAACATTCCTTCAAACACAGTGGCATGGTCAAAGGAACAGGATGAGTGAGCTGACAAGTGCCGTGGGGCCTGTTCCACATAACGCGGATGGTTGTTCATTTAATGTGCCTATGTCCTCCACAGAAACCCGGCTTCCTGGAGACAGCATCCCCCAACTCCTGTGAGTGGAGACCGCTTCTTCTGTATCTACCAATCACAGAGACGAGCTCAGAATCCGACATGCACACCAGCACCCTGCCAGACTGCTGACCTTGTCACTGACCACCCAGCTTCTGCCCGGCCCTGACATTCATGAGTGTCTACACCAGTGTTGTGCTTCTTTCGGGGTCTGGTCATCATCTTAGGGGATTTGAAGAACCAGTTTTCTCCCCATCTCCCACACCAGTTATTTAGAATGACCCAAGAGGATGAGTCCAGAACACAGACAGAAGTCTCTACTTCAACAGCAAACCCCAACCACCCAATGAAAAAAATGGGCAAAAGACTAGAATGGCTATTTTTCCAAAGACAGGCGGATGGCTCATACAGAAGGCACGAAGGTGCGGAATGACATTGATTGCCAGGACAGCACAAAGGACAGCACCATTCTCCTGGGGGGCCACCTCACAGCATGCTGGCTGCCCAGGACCAGAAATCAGAAGTACATGTTTGCCAAGGCCACAGCTCACTGCCAGGGACATCGCATCGTGAGATCGTGCCGCTGCTGTGGATGACAGGACTGTAGCTCTTCGGGAGACTGAGTACAGATTTACCAGCCCTCCCTGCAGCTCCTGCTCCTAGTCTGTGTCCAAGAGAACTGAAAGCCTGGTGTGGCATCTGGAGGCCAATGCTCAGAGCATGCCCACAAGTGGTCTATAAGGACCACGGAGTATTAGTAACAGAAAAGATTCTGATGCATGCTATGGTATGGCTGAACTTTTTAAACATCAGCTGGGCTGGAAAGGAGCAGGGCTGTAGCTTCAAGCCTCAGTACTACAACAAACAACCAAACAACAGCACAAAACAAAACATCAGCTAAGTGAAATTATGCCAGACACCAAAGGACAAATACTGTATAACCTCACTTGAAACAAGAATGTACAGAAGTCAAGTTCACAGAGGCAGGAAACAGGAAGTGTTCACCAGGCTGCAGAGGGAGAGCGGCATCAGTGCTCAGTGGGTCAGGCTCTGTCTAGAGATGAAAGTTCTGGAGATGGATAGTCATGACGATCACATAATGATGTAAATGCACTTAATGCCGTTGGTTAAAACAGTAAATTTCTGTTACACAAATTTTACCACACTAAAAAGACTTAAAAAAAAAAAAAGTAACCACTGGAAACACATTCAATTACTTTGCCTTTCAGATTTCTTTATTCTTAACAATATTATATGCCAATATATTCAGCCCTTTTATTCTGTTTTATTTAATATTTTATTACACAGCTGATGAAAAGAAGAACATGGTTAATTTCATCCCACATGGCTTCATCCAATCTGCTTCCTGACCTCTTACTAATGGAGACAAAGAAACCCTTCGTCTTGTAGCTAGGGAGCAGGCCTACAAGCTTTGCTTTCCACCTGGAAACAGTTATGTATGAAATGATCTTACATGTCTGTGCAGTCCTGTCTCATCTCCTCTCCAAATCTGCCATCTACAAAGCAGGCTGTGCTCACAGGCTTGTCCTGTCCCGCTCCACAACCACAGGCACTCAGCTGGTCTGGCTTCGAAGCCAGTGGTAATGATTTCTCACAAACAAGACCTTTTCTCTATTAAAATATTTTAGGGGCTGGGGAGAAGGCCTGACGAGTGAGAGCACTTGCTGCAATAGCATGGAGACCTGAACTCAGAGCCTAGCACCCAGGTGAAAAGCTAGGCATGGTGGCCTGTGGGCCTGGAATGGCATCTGAAAAGCAGAGGCAGGAGGACGGCTTGGCCACCAGACAGCTCCAGGATCAGCAGGAGGCCCCGTCTCAAGGGAATAAAGCCCAGCATGACAGAAGAGGACACAGGACTTCTTCAGGCCCTTGTGCTTGCCCGGTGCCACACACCCACACACATATGCACACACATATACACTATTTGTTTTAATGCTTCAACTGTGATAACTTTTAACTTTTACTACTTTAATTTTAATGTTCCTAAAATACCTCTTGTTGCTGAAATGTTCGTTACTAGGATGGATGGAGATTTTACAGCTCTCTCACAGTGATCTGAACCATGAAACTGGTCCCATGGTAAAACTGTTTGTTCTCCCTGTCTGGGTGCCTCGCTACCACCTCCAGTGTTTGGCCTTCTCTCTTTGTAACATCAGAGGAGCACGCTTCCTGTACATTTGCTGAGTATGCAGACAGCTGCTCCCGGAGGAATGCCGACTTGCTCCCACTCTGAATCCACACGCAATCTTCTAATCAGTATCTTAAGACACTTTTACCCTTCTTTAATTTTTCCCTGATTTTATGTGATGAGCCTGGCTCTCTTGATAGTGGCATGCAGACGATCATCTCAAAACATATTTTTGAGTCAATGAATTTAACGCATAATTTGATTTTATGGTTGGTGAACGTGGTTCAATTAACTTCACCAGGTGTGTAGTTAGTTGGTCTTGGGCTATATTTATGATCTTGTTGAAATTCAGGGCAGGGGACAGAGAAACTGAAACACTGATGCCTGTTTCCCAACAGCACCACTGGGTGACTACCCAGCAAGTACAGTGCGCTCTAGGGTGCGCTAGGGGTGTCCGTGTGTGAGTGCCCCTGTGTGTGTGTGTTCAGTCTGCTCTAGGGTGCGCTAGGGGTGTCCGTGTGTGTGCCCATCTGTGTGTGTGCTCAGTCTGCTCTGGGGTGCGCTAGGGGTGTCCGTGTGTGAGTGCCCCTGTGTGTGTGTGTGCCTGTGTGTGTGTGCTCACTCTGCTCTGGGGTGCGCTAGGGGTGTCCGTGTGTGAGTGCCCGTGTGTGTGTGTGTTCAGTCTGCTCTAGGGTGCGCTAGGGGTGTCCGTGTGTGAGGGCCCGTGTGTGTGTGCCCGTGTGTGTGTGCTCACTCTGCTCTGGGGCGCGCTAGGGGGTGCCCGTGTGTGAGTGCCCGTGTGTGGGCTCAGTCTGCTCTGGGGTGCGCTAGGGGGGGCCCGTGTGTGAGTGCCCGTGTGTGGGCTCAGTCTGCTCTGGGGTGCGCTAGGGGGGGCCCGTGTGTGAGTGCCCGTGTGTGGGCTCAGTCTGCTCTGGGGTGCGCTAGGGGGGGCCCGTGTGTGAGTGCCCGTGTGTGGGCTCAGTCTGCTCTGGGGTGCGCTAGGGGGGGCCCGTGTGTGAGTGCCCGTGTGTGGGCTCAGTCTGCTCTGGGGTGCGCTAGGGGGGGCCCGTGTGTGAGTGCCCGTGTGTGGGCTCAGTCTGCTCTGGGGTGCGCTAGGGGGGGCCCGTGTGTGAGTGCCCGTGTGTGGGCTCAGTCTGCTCTGGGGTGCGCTAGGGGGGGCCCGTGTGTGAGTGCCCGTGTGTGGGCTCAGTCTGCTCTGGGGTGCGCTAGGGGGGGCCCGTGTGTGAGTGCCCGTGTGTGGGCTCAGTCTGCTCTGGGGTGCGCTAGGGGGGGCCCGTGTGTGAGTGCCCGTGTGTGGGCTCAGTCTGCTCTGGGGTGCGCTAGGGGGTGCCCGTGTGTGTGTGCCCGTGTGTGTGTGCTCACTCTGCTCTGGGGTGTGCTAGGGGTGTCCGTGTGTGGGTGTCCGTGTGTGAGTGCCCGTGTGTGTGCTCAGTCTGCTCTGGGGTGCGCTAGGAGTGCCCGGGCCGTACGTGTCCCAGTCTTCAGTCTGGTGGAGCGGTCAGGCGCACTTCAACTTCTTATCTGAAACCTTCACTTTGGTTAGAACATCTGTACTTTGTGGCCAGAATTGATAGTGTTTTCCAACCAGGATCCAGCTAAAAATTAAGCTTTAAGATGTCCACTGCAGTAAATTCACTTCTTTCCACCACACCTAAACTGAACATGTCAAACAGCATCCCTGAGGGAACAGAGAACATAACTGCTTCATGTGTGGATTCATGGTTCTGAAGGCTTGAGGCTGGGATTGATGTGTGACAGGTTTATTTTCTTCTCCGTGGGTGAATGTGGAAGAGGCAGGACTCTACTGTCCTGAGAGCCCACAGCACGCAGAGTCCCATCACAAAGCACAAGGTGTTTAATGAATATCAGTAACTGTTCTTTGAGCCAGCATTTTCCCCAATTTAGGAATAACACAATATAAAATGGGAATGACTTGGTAGCACCAGGCAAGTACTTGGCGTCAGTGAGCCCAGTCTGCGCTGGGGACTCGACCTGAGCCTGTCTGACTGGCTACACTGCTGTCACTGGCCCTCTGGCCTTAGCTACAGCTTGAAAGCTCTAGGGAGTGAAGAATTTCAGCAGAAAGTTAAGCTCCTGGATTCCTTTGCAGTGTATGGGGACACAACTCTGACGTGCTGAGGGGGACCACTTGCTAGACCTGCTACTGCGTCTTGCTGGGAAGCTCCTGCAGAGTCTTGAATGAAAGAGAAACAACTCAAGAGGCATCAGATGTGACTGACTAGCCCTGAGGCAGCTAAAGGCGGAAGGGAGAAAGGGAAAGTGCAAATGACACCAAGCTGGTCATCGTTCCACAACTCAGAAATGTACAACTTGGGCTGGTGAGCCACAGTGAGGTGGTTTAGCCAGTGCAGTTTGCTGCCCCAGCCTGGCATCCTGTGCTCAATCCCCGGAACCCTTGTGAAAGTAGAGAGCACCCATTCCACAGTTGTCCTTGGACTCCCATACGTGCTGTGGTGTGCATGCACACATGTACACGTAAATACAACCACACACACTTACACACATGCACGCGCACACACACAAACATGCACATGTGCACACGAGTGGATAAAAAACTTTTTTCAAAAAGAAACATACAATTTGCCTATTTTCACGTACAAAAGGCAGCGTAATATTTACTTGTTTATATACAAACTTTGTTTTTAGGAAAATGTTGAAACACTAGTAACGTACTACTTCTATTTGCCAGGAGGTAAGGTTTAAGAACAAGAGGGATGGCTCAGCAGTTAAGAACACTGACTGTTCTTGCAGAAGACCCAGGCTCAAATTCCAGCACCCACATGGCAGCTAACAACTGTCTGTAACTGCAGTTCCAGGGGATCCGACAGCCTCTTCTGTCCTCTGCTGGCATTATACGACACGGGTGCACTTATTTACATGCAGGCATAACACTCATACACAAAAAATAAAAATAATAAAATATTTAAAAAAAGGAACAAGAGGGACAGAAAGATGTGAACGGAAATCCAGTCTCCTACTCCTTGGCCAGGGAGGCCATTCTGGATTTAGTCCACAGGGAGCCGGTCACTGGCCAGTCAGGGGTGTAGGATGTTAACAGACTGAGGGGAGAGTCCAGGGAAAAAGGGGGAGGGTTCAGCTTCCTTCCACCCTATCTCTTCCTGCTCCCCTTGGACTCGTTCCCAAATGACTCACCCTTTAACCCCTGTCCCTGGTGGCCGCACGCCTAGCTGTCCCTGGGGGCTTCCCCTTATGGTCTGCCACTGTCTGCTCTCGGTCACTGGTGCCCTCAACCATCCTTCTGTTCCCTACAAACACGGCTACATCCAAAAGCAGGTGGGAATATAAACTTAAGTGTAGGCACTCATAGTTTCAGGAACGGTGCAGGCCTACGGGGATAGCATGAACATACACAGTTAATGGTACCTCACAGCATGAACATACACAGTTAACGGTACCTCACAGCATGGAAGTTCACAGTTAACAGTACCTCACAACATGGACATTCACAGTTAACGGTACCTCACAGCACGGACATACACAGTTAACGGTACCTCACAGCATGAACATACACAGTTAATGGTACCTCACGGCATGGAAGTTCACAGTTAACGGTACCTCATGGCATGGACATTCACAGTTAACGGTACCTCACAGCACAGACATACACAGTTAATGGTACCTCACAGCACGGACATACACAGTTAACGGTACCTCACAGCATGGACATACACAGTTAATGGTACCTCACAGCACGGACATACACAGTTAACGGTACCTCACAGCACGGACATACACAGTTAACGGTACCTCACAGCACGGACATACACAGTTAACGGTACCTCACAGCATGGACATACACAGTTAACGGTACCTTCCAATTCTTCTCTTGTTCTCCTCCATTTTCTGATTTGCTATATTTAACAGGAACTCAACATACTCTTCCGTCACCATCAGTTTCCCCTTATGGCTTAATGGAACTTCTAAGCCATGCGTACTCCGGACAGCCTAGAGGGGAGAGTGGAGTTGTGAAGATTCGTAGGCCAGAGCCTCTGAAGAAAAGGAGGGAGAATCCCAGTCAGGGCTAGGTCTGGACACGAAACTCCCATTACAGCACCTGCACCCTTGATTTGACAGAAATCTAGCTGAACTCAACTCAGTCAGAGGAGAGGCCACAGATCCCCTCATTGGCAGTCATGTCCAGAAAGGTGTTCTTTGTATTGTTTTTCAGAGGAGATGCTATCAGAGAATTCAGTAACTTTACAGCTTCAACCTCGCTACGTCTTACAATGCTTTAATTCATAACTTAAAGAAAGGAAATAAATGACATGTCCAACACAGGCCGGAAGGGGAAATCAAACAGCTTCTTAGAGCCTCTGCTTGGGCTGAGTATGAGAGGAGCTGCAGCTCCAGTCCCTGCGTTAGTGCTTCAGGTTGTCAATCTTAGCGATCTACTGATGGAGCCGGCTACATATCCCCGTGCATCCACACACTGGGTGAAGGCGAAAAGCCACAGCAAAAACTCTCACAAACCAGTACTGAAGAGTAAGAATTCATTCAGAGCTGCACTGCAGTCCCTGCGTTAGTGCTTCAGGTTGTCAATCTTAGCGACCTACTGATGGAGCCGGCTACATATCCCTGTGCATCCACACACTGGGTGAAGGCGAACAGCCACAGCAAAAACTCTCACAAACCAGTACTGAAGAGTAAGAATTCATTCACTGAATCTTTAGGGAGCATCTGCATTGTTTGGGGGCCTCTGTAAGGCACAAAGACCCAAAAGGAACATACCAAGGCTTCTCCTTTCAGAGTTCACATTTCAGAACAGGAAAGACATACACAGGAATCACAACGCAGCCTGGGTGATATGAAGAAACACACGAGTGCATGTACGTGCATACACACACACAAAAAAAATGCTGACAGAATGTGGAAGGAAAGAACCAGGGAAGTGAGAGGACTCAGCTTCATGGGAAGCCAGGGTTTGGGTTGGAATTTTCAGAGACAAGTGTAATTTCAGCAGTCATTAAAAAGAGGGAGCGGTGTTGGAGCCAGAGCAGTATACGCAGAGACGTAGAAATACAAGTCGTACTTGGGAAAGAATGGATTCCAACTTCTCTCCCTAACTGCCCTTGGGCTCTTCCCCAAATGATTCCCCTTTAATGCCTGTTCCTGGTGGTCACATGCCTAGCCATCTCTGGGGCTAAAAAGTCTAATTATGACCCAAGCATCAGGGAAAATCTCTGGAGACTCGGCGTTTTAAAGGAGGGATTCTGAGAGCACTGCTCAGGGGCTGGGAGGACTCAGGAAGGCCTCTAAGAAGGCAACTCCGGAGACTGTCATAGAAACTGAGGGAATGAACCTTCATGGCACAGGACACTGGGGAAGGACCTGGAGTGGTGTCACGTACCAAGGCAGAAATGCTAAAACCACTGACTGGTGAAACCACTGCTAAAACCACAGAGACGAAGGACAGGAAGGCGGAGGAATGGCTCTTTTACCTCAGACCACCAGATGTAGGGTGGAGTGAGGTCAGGACACAAACCAGCAGTGAGGGCTCTGATCTGCCACTTAGTCACGCTTTGCATACTTCCTCTTCTGTCTGCCACCTCGATTTGGGAAATGGGCTACTTGTTAAAAGTAGAAAAAAGTCTAGGGAGCTGTAAGAACAGGAATTTGACACGGTTCAAACACAGCGTGTCCTGTGCCAAACAGTAAAGACTATGGGTGAGCAAAACCGGGAAAACGACTATGGTTGGTGTGGCCAGGAAAGGACAGCAGGCCTGAGGGCTGGTAAACCGCTCCTGTGACAGGACAGAGGAGAGATGTTGCTGCCTTTATGGGTCACGCAGCGTGTCACGGCACTCAGCTTTGCTATAGTGGTACCAAACTGCATCTGACGATTAATGGGGGTCGAGTAGGCCCAGCTCCTGTGGGCGGGATCTGGCCCATGGACGGCACTCCGGAGCTCTGGGAGGGCTGAGAAAGTTCAGATACCGAGGCATGAAGCAGCTCGCACAAGTTTACAAAGCACAGCCGTAGTCCAGCTGATACCAGAGTGTCACCGCAGAGAACTTCAGAAGCCACTCTTACCGCTGTGCCACGCTGCTCATTACATCAGCCCTTGACACCGCAGGATGAGGAGGGCAGAGCAGAGTCAGGTTCAAAGTAAGCGGAGGGGGACATCACAGAATAGGGCCTCTAACTCAGATATAAACTCTGGACACAACCTTCGAGGGAAGAGTGAGTCACTTAAGGTTTGGGGGCAAGAAAGCAACAGGGCTTCTGGGAAGGAGGGGGTAAGGGCAGCAAGCGCCACAGCGCTGTTCAGCAACCTGGACAGTCCCAGCCCGTTCCTGCCGACAGCACCTTACCAGCATCATCTTCCCTCGTTTTCCCACTGTGATGCCAGAGTTCCTGAAGCCAGAAGTGACTGCCACCGAATGCTGTAAAAAAGTAAAGTGTGCTAAGCTCCCGGACATCAACAAATCTGTCCCATAAACAGTGGGAGAAAGGAACTCCCAGACCCACTGAGGGTTTCTGTCCGTGTGGACTACGCTTTAAAGTCCTGTCAGAATTCCTGGTAGACAGACCAGAACAGCAGTTTTGGCAATGTCCTTGAGAAAGGGTAAAACCAGAATCCAATAAAGCAGGAGTCTGGCTGATGACTATTCTCAGAGCAGAAGGCCAAAACCAGTCTTTGCTCTGGCCCCGCATAGAGGTAAAGGGAACTTCCAAGAGTGCGTGCTTTCTCTGAGAAGGAACATGGTTCCCTCAGTGCCTGGGCTGATTTTACAGACGACGGCAGTGAGCCACAAGAACCTGAGGGTCTGGAATCCTGAATGGACTTTATACATCCTCATGGGCTTTAGCGTTATGCAGTCCCTAAGTGATGTGGCTTTCTCTTCAGCTCAGGAGTTCTTAACTTGGAACGATTGTCCCACAGGAACCCTGCAATGACCAGACTTGGTGTTTGCCAGGCTGTCCCGATGGCAGAGTGACGGGGGTGGGGCGGGCTGGCATACAGGGCAGCATAGCCAGGGCAGCTGCTGAAGCATTCTACCAAGGACAGGTTCCACAGTTACTTGGCCCCAGTGTCAACAGTCCAAACGCTGAGAACTTTGCTCTAAGCGTGCTCTCCCATGGTGGTAAACAGCACCCTGTGTGGCTGCCATGTGTATTACCATGTGAATTACCTTGAGCCCATTCCCAGTGTGGATCTCTTGCCCAAAGTGGACTCTTCCTCCTAGAAATGTCCTCTCACACCCAGTCCTTCTCACCTGATATGACGAAGCCACCACACGTGCAGCTTCTCAGGCCAAACCCCGTCTGCCTGGTGCTTTTTCCCCTTCCTCCCCACGCCCAGTTCCGGACCACTCTGCCTTCAAACCACACCTGTGCTCCCCGGTGCCATGCCCTGTAGCTTTGCTGGGTCTGGATGCTCATTACCTGCCTGGACTCTGCAGGAGTCTTTAGATGAACTGTTTTCACTCTTGTCCCTAATCCTCCTAACAGAGCAGTCAAAGGTGGAAAGATGGGGTCTAAATGCTACAGCTCTCACACCGCATCTGGCCTCCTTCCTGTTCTCTGAACACCCCACCACCTCCCTGCCTTTCCCTCCCTACCTCTTTCTCTTTTCTTTTCTTTTTGAGACACGGTCTCTCTGTAGCCCCAGCTGGCTTGGAACTCATTATGTAGACCAGGCTGGCCTTCATCTCACAGAGATCTGCCTGCCTCTGCCTCCTGAGTGCTGGGAATAAAGATGTGTGCCATCATGCCCGGCTCCACTTGATTCCAGCCTCTTTCTGCTGGTCCTTCTTCCTGAACTAACATTCCGTGGCTGGCTCCTGTGTGTCCTGGTCCTGTGTACCTCCCTCCCCTCTGTCTTTCAGAGCGCTTCTCTGGCGACCTTCACAGCTCATCTCTCTCTTTCCTGTCTAGCTCAGGGCTCTGACAATTTCCTAAACAGCACTTATTGAGAAATCATGCCTCTGTGCTCCTAGCTGCCTGTGTCCCCGCCCCTTTTCTGCATTTCTTTGCCTGGCAGGTGCCCTGAGAACCAGGAGTGCTCCTGAGCAGGGGGATTTGTTTCTGGAATTGTGCTAGTCAGCTCTCTGGGTGTTAGACTTTCTTCCAGGCTTTGGCCCTGTGCCGTGAGGACCAGCACCCAGAACAGGACCTGGGGATGGAAACAGGAAGGCCTAGGCTGGGGCTGCACCAGCAACAGGTTTAGGAATAAGGGCAGAATACGGACCATTCGTCCAGGGCAAGTAAGTACCACCGCAGAGCACTGATCTCAGGCAGCTCTCGGAGGACATCCACGTGGCCCAGCTCCTCTGGCCCCTTTCCTTTTTTGCTGCCTCCACAGGTGATTGCATCCGGGCTCAGGGCTTTAAATAGCTGCACTGGCCTCTCTCCATGTGTAGCTTAGTCCTTTGCACCTAGAGCAGCTTTCCACACCAACACCAACTATGATTTTGGTGTTAGGGCCAAGCTGGCCTTCAGCACTCCTGTGAGGTGCTAACCCAGCATTTGTAGACAGGGCCTGTATGCTGGTCGAGTGGAATGGGATCTTCAGGGTGAGGAGCTAGGTTAACAGGACTGGAGTCCCGAGAAGGGAAGCTGTGATGTGTCTTCACAGGGGAAAGGCCACAAGAGACCGGACAAAACCAACCATGCCGACCTCTGACCTTTGACATCAGCACAGAAAACACTTAATGCCCTTTGTTTTAAGCATCTGCCCCATGGTATCTTCTGCTGGCCAGCCCTGACTGACAGGCAGGCATGCGGCACTGAAGACGGGCATCTCAAGGGCACGGACACTCATGTGACTCTGATGCTGAGTCCACACCGCCGGCTTCCTGCACCGCTGTCTGAAGGGCACTACCGGCACCCGGTGCTCCAGCCTGACATGGCTTGCTCCCTTTCACACTTCTCTTTCTCCTAGGGCATCTACCCTGACACCCCGCCAGTCTATTAATCCAAACACTAAAACACATTTTGCCTGTCTCCCTCTCACCTTCTCTGGTACTGTCCCCTCAAGGCACCACATCCCATTGCAGTCACAAGCTGAGTCCTGACTGACTTGCTAGGGTAAACCTGGGCTTTCAGAATACCCCATCAGGCATCCAGGGCAGACGCAGGCTTTCAGATCACCCCGTCAGGCTTTAAATAGCTGTACTGGACTCTCCAACGTGTAGCTTTAGTCCTGTTTGACCCCAGCAGGCGCAGGCTTTCAGATCACCCCATCAGGCTTTAAATAGCTGTACTGGACTCTCCAACGTGTAGCTTTAGTCCTGTTTGACCCCAGCAGACGCAGGCTTTCAGATCACCCCGTCAGGCTTTAAATAGCTGTACTGGACTCTCCAACGTGTAGCTTTAGTCCTGTTTGACCCCAGCAGACGCAGGCTTTCAGATCACCCTGTCAGGCCTCTGCAGCTGCCCTTCACTAACTGTCCTTGACTCAGAAAGCAACCAATCCCTTTGTCCAGCTCTAAGGCCCGAGGGACCTGGTTGGTCTTGGTTTCTGTCACCTCTTCACACCTCGCTCCTTCTCTCTGTGAACAGGAGCCTTTTCTGCTTCTGAAACGTTTTCATCTGCTTGGACTGTCCATCTTCCCAGCTCTCCACCGGCAGCTTCTTTTCAGTCTTAGCTTGAACAGTCTTCCTCAGAGATGCCCACGGGAGAGGCCACCCAGCACACCATGCTGTGAGCTGCTTTCCTCCTCCTTCAGCCCTTTAGAACTTGGCATTGATCATCTCTATCTGCCTGGTGTCTGCTGTCCCCTAAGGTCAAAGGAGGAGCAAGACTAATGGCTTCATCACTCCCCAAAACGCACCAGGGTGACTGCTCGTATTCAACTATGCTTCAGATGAAATTTAACCTTACATGTAAGCTAATAAAAAGTAAAAAATGAACAGGACTAGGAAGTGGAGAAACAGCTTAACAGATGTTTAACTAATATTCATTTAAATAATGAGAAAAATATTCTCAAAGACTAATGCAATTCCATGGTATTTTCTGAAAGCTTAAGATGCTTTTAAAAGCAAAGATACATCCTTAATATGAAAGAAGACAGAAGGGTAAAGAAAGAAACAGGAACTGTAGGAAACCAGGGTGGCGCGCCCCAGGGCGAGATGAGCCTAAAACTTTCAAGTCAAGGCTACTTCTCTGCTAAAGGGAGGGCGCTGAAAGCAGAAGCTCTGACATCCCTGTGGTGCAGAACGTGAGGCTGGCAGGAGAAAAGTAGCTGGGTCCAAAGTTCAGACTCCTCACTCTGAGGGAAAGCATCCTGGTCAACAGCCCTTAGTCTGCCTCCTCGTCCAGAACAGACAACATAGCTATCACTAACTAAAATCGACTCTGGGCTAAAAGCTAAAAGTTTACTATGCTTCTAGCTCTACTGTGACCAATAAACTACTAGATACGCACTGGTAAAAGTTTAAGCATCCTGCTTTACAAACAGCCCCTAGCTGGCACCGACTAAAAGCTTATGTCCCATTTCCTGTCTAATTGTGCCCTAATCTTTGGATGTGCCTGCCAAACTCCATGTGACTGCCAGTTCCTTGTAATGTAAAAAATCCTTCTGAATTTTTCAATAATGGCTTGTGGTAAAGGAAAGCACAAGTCCCAAATTCCAGACTGTCGCTGGTCGGTATCATCAGCCATCACGGTATCACCAGCCATCTCGAAAGCAAGTTTTCTCACTGAGCAAGGCAGAACTGAAGTTCAATAAGGAGCCACAGCATGGTGCTAGATCTTCTTTTGCTAGTGATTACTAGGTACTCCTGTTTTCTTTTTTAAAACATATTTTACTTATTATTTTTACTTTATGAATGTATTGCCTGCATGTATGTAAGTGCACCTGTGTCATGCAATGCCTGAGGAGGTCAGAAGAGGGCATTAGATCCCCTGGAACTCGAGTTCTGGACAGTTGTTGCCACGATGTGGGTGCTGGGAACCAAACCTGGGTCCTCTGCAAGAGCAGCCAGTGCTCTTAGCTGCTGAGCCATCTCTCCAGGCCCTAGTCCTGTTTTCTAACACTAGACATGAATAATGAGGCTGACTAAGTGGATGTAAATACAATTAAATAAAAAAAACGAGCTGGATAAACTAGCGTCGAGTCGTTTCTACGGGTGGCTCACAGCCTAGACTTAGCTCTACCCACAGATGTCTAACTTCAAGGACACTTCTCAAACGCTTACCAGAATCTGTGCATCCTGCAGCTGCCTGCACTGCACGTGAAGGACGAAGGGCTCAAACTTGAGGACAGCATCACCTCTCGCCCTCTTCAGAGCTGCCAGCTGCGTGAAGGAGAGAGCAGGCATCAGGAACAGCTCGGCAGGCCGCTTCCTCTGCCAACCCGCCAGTCCTCCACCAACCCTTCACTACCTACGGACTTAACTTCAGACTCACTCAGTGTGCACTGTCTGCGATATCTAGTTCCTCTGCTTTACTGGTCTTTTCTCATCAAAGTCTTATTATTTCCTTTGGAATCTTAGAATTACATTTATTTATCTATTGTGTGCAGGCACACATGTGCCACAGTGCCTGGTGTGGAGGTCAGAGGACAGCTCCTGGAGTCAGCTCTTTCCTTTCACCACGAGGTCCTGGAGACCAAAGTGAGGTCTTCGGGTTTGCGGGTCTTACCCACCTAGCTACCCCCTTAGACCTATTTACTTATTTTCTTAAAAAACCCTAATTTCCAGTTTTCCCATAAACCTGAACATTCTGAACCATTTTCCTAACTGCTACTTTACCCTGAAAAAGTAAACTATTTCATTTAATTCATTTTCTTTGAGGAATGTGGACTTTGTGCTGGGTACCAGACAGGCCCCTGAGCATGGATGGAAATCATGTGACACACAGAGACCTCAGCATGGCCAACACTTTTCAGTTCCCTCTGTACTGGACACAAGCAAACTTCCCTGGAACAGCTTATGTGGATGTGCAGGGGGCAGGGTCCCTTTACTCCAGCCCCAAGTGGTGCCTTTACAGTGTCTTCCCTACTTGCAATACTGCTCTGCCGGCCAGGGAGGAGGTAGAACCATCTCTTTCTTTCAAGGGGCAGGACTTCATACTACCTCTCTCTTGCTGTAAGTAAACATCACACGGCTGGAGCCAAGCATGTGCATTGCCTGTTCTTAACTGTCAGTCAGGCCCCAGCCTCTTTCCTTTGTGGCAGGTATCTGCCTTTTGGCCCTGGCTACCTCATGCTACAGTTTATACTGTGGCATAGGCTTACCACTTAGTAAACAGGTACTATTACCTCTGAGCTAAAATTTATACCTGTCATCATCTCTGCCCCTCTGGTACTCCTGGCAGCACCGCCCAGCCTTCACACTGTTGATTTCAGGGAACAGTCAGTTATGACCCTGTCACTCACACTGTCCCTATCACTCAGAAGCCTCAAATGCCTATGTCTGGCCAAGGTCATTATATCATTTCACCAGCAAAAGCAACTTATCTAGCACCCCAATCCACATAGGAAAACCCACACAGGGATTAGTCCACGTATCTTAAGAAAAGGAAGTGTTTTTCTGCTGGGACTGCTCACAGTTCTTGCTGTAGCAGAGTGAGGACAGGCCCTCCAGCTCTCAGCAGAGTGAGGACAGGCCCACCAGCTCCCAGCAGTGAGGACAGGCCTGCCAGCTCCCAGCAGAGTGAGGACAGGCCCGCCAGCTCCCAGCAGAGTAAGGACAGGCCTGCCAGCACCCACACACACAGAGGGAGCTCTGCAGACAGCCTGCAGATGCCCAAACCAGCCACACCTCACTCCAGCTCTACCTCTGTCCTTCCTGTAGATAAATCATCCTTTGTTTTCTTTTTTGAGACAGGGTCTCCCCGTAGCCCTAGCTAACCTGGAACTCACTGTGTAGACAAGGCTGGCCTTGATTTCACAGAAATCCACCTGTGTCTGCCTCCTGAGTGCGGGGATTAGAGGTGTGCACCACTTTGCCTGGCTTTTTCACTTGTTTTGATAAATCCTCTTTTTTTTATTTTTTGCATTAAGATGTAACTGGATTTCTAAAATCACCAGGAATGAAAAGGGCCTCACTAATACAAACTTACATGGGCTCTCCTAACACTTCAATTCCTGAAATGAGACAACTGAGCACAGATGGAAGATTTTCCAGAGGCCACCCAGGTCATGTGAGATTACCTCCAGCAGAAAAGTGGCAATGCACAGAGGGCAAATCCTCCTCTCCCATCATGATCTGTGCCAGGCTGCAAAGTTATTAAACAACAGTACTGAATTTAAAAATTTGGGTTCCATGTTCCCTACGTTCATGAACTCTGCTGTGTTCACGAGAATGCTTTGTGGAACTGTAGTATAGAATGTGTGCAGACCTGCTTATGCCTCCACACCTCTCACTTCTACAACCCAGAAAGCACTGTAATGAAAGCTTTCTGGGCTTTGTAACCCCCAGGCATTATAATCATCCACATAATCACTTTGGTATTCTATTCTTTACATATGTATTTGAAGTAACTGTGAATTTAAAAGCTCATTTTTAAGTTTAAACATAAAAACTTACCACATCATCTTTCAGGCAAGGTTTGTGAACAACAAGTAGCCAGCAACAGTTTTGTTTCTGAACCTCAAAACCATTTGCACTCTAGAACAACAAATAATTTAATCATATTTACAAAATAGTAAGTACGGTGTACTGCATAGTAATATAGGCAATTAAAAATTAATAACCGTAACTATTACTGAAGATAATTCAAAACATTTTGGGGTAAACGTAACCTAGAACAGAAATCAGCCCTAATTTCTCAGAATTTGAACGGCAAAGGTACTCAAACATTTCCTGAAATACGGTCACAGTTTTGTTTGCTTCTCTGTTTACTTTGTGGTACTGGGGACAGAAAGCAAGTCCTCGTGAGTGCTAAGCAAATACTCTCACCACTGACCACATGCCTAACCTGCTCATGTTTTTGTTGAAAGAAAATATTTACAAGGTGCTATCTACTAATAGTATTTTAATTATGCTGTTTTATTTTAATACCATAGTAAAAGATGAAAAAAAAAAAAAAAGAGGAATTCCTTCTACAGGGCTGCACTGGTTCATAACACCCAGGACCTAGCACACAAGATCTAGCTCTCTCCTGACACCTGTGATGCTTGCTCCTTTACCGCTTCCCTCATGTCTGTGAGCACAAACTTCTGATTTCTCCATTAGACTGTTATATGCAGCCTCAAAAAGGCAGAACTTAAAATATCACAGATTTGAAAAGGTCAATGTTACAACACTGACTTAAACCCAACAAATATTGATTTGCAACGTCCCGAGGTTCACACAGATCTCGCCTGTAAGACACTGAAGAGAAAGCAGGCAACCACACACATAGACATCACTACTTTCTAAAATAACTACAGACAGTGGGTCTAGAAGAGACTCTGCTATCTGGCCTTGGACATGTTCCTGAATGACTGGTTTTCATTGTCAGACTTCAGTAACTTATACACATGGTCTAGTACTGATGCTATAAATCTCAGGGCCAAATGTGTACTTCATATTTACCAATTTTACAGACTCTAGTACCATGATTTGGGAACCAATGTCATCTCTTTTTTTTAAAAAAAAATATTTCCTTTACTCTAATTTTCTTTCTTTTCTTTC